AAATAGACCTATTGATGAAATATTTATCTCATACTTGTACAATATATATATATATATATATATATATATAGGCTATTTCTAAGTTTTTAAAATAATTAAAATGACAAATTTAGAATAAAAATACATGTACATTTGAGTATGTATATATATATATATATATATATAATATCTTGATTTTTTTATAAATTTACCATAAAAATACTTATATCCAACTTTTTATCATAATATTATATTAGGTGTGATTATTGTTGTGAATAGAGAAGATAAGTAAAAATAGACAAATTGTATTTAAAATATTTAGATGAATAAAAAATTAAATTTGGTGTAGCAAATAAAAACTTTATAAATAGGGAAAAAATAAAAATTAATCAATCAATTCAAATAATAATTATTATTTTCATACTATAATAAATAAATTTATAGTTATGATTTTATAATGATTTAAAATATGAGTTGAATTAATTTAAAAAAATATATAATATGTAGGTGGAAATTTTAAAAATTATCATATATATATATATATATATATATATATATATCATTCTTTATAAAAATTTGTATTGAATTTGATTTTATTTCTAACATTGTATCCTTTGATGTTATTATAAAATACAGTTGAAAAACTTTACTTGATTTTTTTCTTAAATTTTAAGTCAATCACCTATTGTAATTAAAATAATTCTAAGATAAATTATTTTAATTAAGAATTGAAAATTAAGGAAATCAAATCAGTATCAATCCAGTTTATAAAATTTATTTTAATTACATTTTTTTCTTATAACACATCTGTAAAATTATAGCACATAATAATAATTAAGCTAATCTTACATTGGAAAGACAAGGAAAAAAGAAAAAATAACTTAAATTCAACATGGTTCAGAAACATATTCACACAATCAATAATTTTTATATACCTTTCTATTTATTGTGCTAAAAAAATGATTACAAACTTGATATTGTGATTGCCATAGATTTTCAGTAAAATATAGAATAATATATATGAAAAATATATGAAAAATTATATCACTGACTAGTACATGATATGAATGACGAACTTATAATGTTTGAGACATTGAAGAGGATAAAAACAATGTAAAATTTATTTAAAAACCAGAATCTTTAAGAAAAGCAGTAGCTAAAATCTAAATGATATCCATTTTGTACTAAGATTATTATATTATGAATCATATTCATTTTGACAAATAGTAGTGTTCTGTAAATTTCAACAAAAACTCAACAAATTATTTTGTTGAATAACTCTTAATTGTGTTCTTTCTTGTTTTTTTAGAATGTGTTTTTTCATAGTACTCTAAGATATTATATTATAGGGTTATATTCAATGAATTTTTAATACAATTTTTTTTTAATATAGTCATAATTTCAAATATTATATTCTATCATTTTTTACTTGTTATGTTGATTTGGCACAAGAATATAATTATTTTAAAAAATAAACCCGGAAATAATTTCTCAAAATCATTATATTACAAGTTGTACATTTAAAAGTTTATTTTATTAGTTAATTCTGCATAAGGCTAAATATAGTAAAAATATAAGTATAACCTTATACTTTGCAAAATAACTTTACACAAAAGTTCTAAATGCTAACTAATTAAATTATTATATGATTGTAATCATAAATCATTTTAATTAATTGAACAAAAAATATGTTCCTTCCAACCCTTTGTTTGTATGTATATACAAAAACATATTGAAATAAACTTCATTTCCTGCTTGAATCTGATTTCTATAGAACCTAGTAACATACTTGTTTAGTGTCTACAACCCTAAAATGTTAATCAATTCTACATTATGTAAAGCTCTGGCTCTATTCTACAATAGCTTCATTCAACACATCAATTTGTTTTGTTCCATTTATATATATATATGTATTTTGGATCTTGTGACGACTTTGACTTGATATACAAACTTGAAAAGCCGTGTGAGAGAACCGATAAAAGAAGACTTTAAATCGCGGAAAGCTGAAAACACAACTTGAGGTACCAACCGCAATTGTGGTTCTTCTTTTGACCAGCAACATTGGCGGACTTACTATCAGAGTGTTAATTTTACTATCAGAATGTTTAAATCAGAATGTTTGTGCTACAATCGCAAGCTTCAGAATATTGTATAACTCCTCTCTCGTGAAAGGATGAATATAACTAACACTACAATATTATCTTGTGAGCAGCATCAATCCAGACAGAGATGGATTACATGCAAAAAAATTGAACAGGGCCACTCAAGATTTCCCCAATCTCACACAGTCTTTACAATCCCGAGCTGCAAAGGGCACCTGAATCCATGAATCCGTTACAGAACTTGACAATCCAGTGGACACATCCCAAATGCGCATCTCCCCAACCCGCAAAATCACTAGAAAATCACTTCAATAAATTCTAAAGGGACTCATACTGGGTAAGATACAGAAAATAGACCCTACAAAATTTTCGTAAGTCTGGCGGATTAAATTATCTCAACAACAGCGATCCTCGACAATCAAGTTGCAAGATTAATGTTCATCTTCTAAGACATATCTCCATGAGAAATCATGACATTGAAAAAAGTGATTCTTCTGCGCAAGTTTTAACTCAAATTGAGCCCTGCGCTTTTCCTTTCCCATTTTACAATTCACAATCATAGGCAAGCAAGTGACCATTTGAGAGACGAACCGTGAGCAAAATTAGGGCAACACTAACCTGGAGTTCCATCTTAACATGGCGTGACATCCTTATCAGCGCCACAGCAATTGAGCAATCCATGAACCTTCCAAAACCCTTCCTTTACGACGCACTCTATTTCTTAACCCACAAACTTGCTCAAAAGAAGCATGGAGTTTTCTTTTTGTGCCAACCCCAGCAAACAAAATTGCTCTCAGATTACAATTTTGAGGGCATAGACACAAAACAATGTTACATGCTCTGTCTGCACTTCTGTTTCTATTGTATGTGTGAAACTTACACAACTTGCAGCATCAGCTGTATCTTGCTCCAGTTGAAAACGAACCTCTGTATCAACAACACCTAATGCATACAATTCAACATCACAGTAAGACAAGGTTTAGGAGATTTGAGAACAAATATTAGATGTAATAATAATTTAAATATATGTTTTGGATATATACATATAAATATATATATATATATATATATTTTTTTTTTCTAATGCCACCACAATTTTTGCTATTACCATCCCAACTCACCACCCACTTGATAGTTCCTATCAATGGTTAAGACAACACTATAATATAAATACTCTCCACTTGGCTTGACTCCCATGGATTCCCAATCTTCTCTCCCCATACATTGATGCTATCAACATTAACTAACTAACTCAGAGAGTTTAGAGTTGGGGGCTTTGTGAATTGTTGCATGGAAACTACTTATACTTCACTTTTGATGAAAACAATGAGAGATGCAATCAATTAGAAGGATGTTTTGTCTTCTCTTGTTTATCCCATGTATTTATCCCCCCTTAATTGTTTTATGTAATAGATACTATTTTTTTTAAAAAAATTGTGTTTTTTTCTTCCTACATGCTCATTGTTTATGAGCAAACCTAGGATTCAACAATAACTGAAATCAATGCTCGATATTCTGAGCCAATAAATTTTTAATTTTTTTGTGTACTTACAACACACTTAACATTATTATGTCATATATAAATGTGGTGTAGAGTTTCAAAAGAAAAAAATTAAAATTCATTGTATGCATAACTTGATTTGATCTTTCATAAAATAATAAAATAATAATTTAATAATGTTTTTTTAATAATGTACATCTTTTATTAAAAATATTTATTTTTTATGTTAAGATTATAAATCTTAAAGTAATTTAAAATTTTAAATTATATTTAATTCACTAAAAATAATCAAATGAATTAATTCTATTATGTTATTTAAATCCTTTCATTTAATGTACAAAAATCTATTCTATTCTTCTTTTCATACTTTTTATTATATTATATTATATTATATTTTTTACAAAATTTAGAGTAGCATTTTCTAACTATAACATTACATTACAATTAATACCTAATATTCTTTTGACAATCATATTCTATAAACAAATCTCTTAACTCAACTTCCAAATAAATATTATCTAACAAACTTTAATCTATTGGATTAAGTAGAGGACAATATTTAATTATAGTAAAACAATCATTGAAATTGCTGCTCGATATTCTGAGCCAATAATCAATAACAAAATAATTAAAATGCAATAACAAACAATAGCTGCTCAATATCAAATTTTTGATATATATTATGAAATTTATCTTATAAATAAAATAAAACCAACCAGAAAATACTCACTATTTAAGGCATTATTGTCAATTTTTTTTTTACACTTTATATATTTGTAACATAATACTAAAAATTTCTGCACCAAATATTGACTTATTTAAAACATGTAATTATTTATTTTAGCACTTTGCATAAATTATAACTATAATCTAACAATACATGGTTTTAATTCTCTTATTTCTTTTTGTTAAGCCTACTATTTAAATGTATGAACTTCAACCAAATCTATAAAAAGATTTCCAATTTTTTAAAAACAGTTCTAAATTTTGCTTACAATTATACTTTCTATAATTCTTTACAACCACAATGTATAGGATATTTGTACATAATTTCACAGGACATTATATATAACCCATTTCTTTTTTCCTGAAAAAGTATCAAAAAATTTAAAAATCATTTATAATACAATTCAAAATAGGTCAAAAAGTTGAAGATGGTAAAATAGCTATCAAACTAACATCCACTAGCATTTGGCTTCTTGCAAACCCCCTTAGTATTGAGGTAAAATATGCATAAATGTAATTGTGACCATGCATATTACTTAGAAAGTTTAGTTTACTTTTGTGAAAATACATTTACATTCCATGATAAAAGTTCATTTGAATAATTGCAACTCAAAAGTGACACAATTAGTTTTAGAATATGCAATTCAATGTTAAAACAAAGGATCAAATTTGATTCTAAAATTGCAGCCCAGTTATAAAATTCAGAATGCTATGTAATGCTTAAAAGCACTTCATTAAGCTACTCTGCACTTTATAGCATTATGTTAGTTAAGTTTGACAGGTAGTTTGAGAAAACCTACCTGTGGCTCTTTTCTTCTTCCTGTTGACTGTATCCGAGTTGATTTAGTTAACTCGCTTTCAGCTATGGCATTTGGCATTGTACAGCTTAGACATTAAGTTTCCTAACGCAGGAAAATCATTCAATGGCTTCCACCGGTTTTTTTCATTTCAGCTTTTCACTCAATATCGAGGAGCGATTTCAATAACTGTTTTACTATAATTAGCCCTTCTATGAAAAAAATTCTGCAGTATTTTGGTAAAACTATTCGTATGAAAAAGGCCCGCCTGCCATGATAAACTGCTGACTCTACGACACTGGTGGGGCAGTAAACACCAGAGCCGCATTTGTACCACCAAAACCAAATGAGTTTGTCAATACTGCTCGGATGTTCATGGACTTGGACGCTTTGAGAGGGCAAAAATGACCGTCAAATATAGGATCAGGCTGCTCCAAATTCAATGTTGGTGGTGAAATGCCCTGAAAACAAACCCGTGTCCCAAAAGATTGTTACGTATAATACCATTTTCATTTTCTATAAAGCCCATTCAAAACAGGGAAAATATCTCAGTTTGGATAGAAGGACTCACATGATGAAGAGCCAGGACACAGAAAATGGCTTCCACAGCGCCCGCTGCTCCTAGTAAGTGACCTGTGGCGCCCTATGCCAACAGATATTGCACCACCCGTTAAAGCAACGATGTCATGTCTTAAACCAGAAGGGGATTAACATTTGATTATGGCAACCCGTGACTATTCAGTGCATAAATAAGAACCTCAAACATGGGTTAATGTTGAGTAGTACCTTTGTAGAGGATAACGCTAGGCGACCTGAGTGAGCATGATCCTTGAACACATCCCGTATGGCTCGTGCCTCAACTACATCACCTGCAGGTTCGAAATCAAACAGATACATGCTTGTCAAACACTCCTGTTTCTACATCCTTCCAGGAGTTGCAAGAGGTACCAGAGCCTCAAACATCTTTGTAATGTCTGACTGAAAATTTACGTAGTAATCCAGGAAATGGATTGATTACTGTACTGATATTTGAACAGGCATTTTATCTAAGAAAATCTCTTTATGCAGGCAAAGAACTCACCTAAGGGGGTTGACGTGGCATGTGCGTTTATGTAGTCTACGTCTGTAGGTTGCAAACCTGCCTGCCCATGTGCCCATCAGAACATGTACTTTCCAGAGACAAAGATAAAGGTGATGTAGTATGGGCGAATGATCAAATACTTAGCACCACAACACCACCTTACAGTCCATCAAACAAAACTTTGAAAATAAATGAGATTTAAGACAAACCTGTTGCAGGGCACGACTCATAGCTAAATATGCTCCTCTTCCCTCTTGTGATGGTTGAGTAATGTGATGTGCATCTCCTGCAAACAGTGCATCAGAAATGTTGTCTCCGAGAGACTTAATCAAACTAGAACAATCTATGCCAAGGAATGAGACTAGAAACTCCAAATGAAATGCATCCTAAAGATCTTCACCTGACATGCCATAACCTCGTATTTCAGCATAGATCTTTGCTCCTCTATTTAGCGCGTGCTGATACTCCTGTACAACCAAAGAAAATACTCTCCTTGTCTCTCAATCCAAACCTTTGCATTTAGCAACATCAAAGATAAGCTTAAAATATTGCACCCATTTGCAGTTGGTCTTGATCAAAACTTACAGTAGTGTCTCTAAGTCCTATTGAAAGAAAATTAAACAGAGAAGAGCAAGGAATTCTCACCTCTAATACTACAACACCTGCACCTTCACCCATTCTACATCCAACAACAAGAAACGGAATTAACACTTCGTTTTAAGGATCAGCTTGCTCCAAAGATGAAGAAAGCAAGGGATTAGATAATCACACAAATCCATCTCGAGCTTGGTCGAAAGGCCTGGATGAATGCGTGGGGTTATCGTTGAACTTCGTACTCAACGCTCTCGCCCTACCACAAAGCAAGGAATCCAGAATTAATGTAAAGCTGCGTTGGTTGTCTCAAGCTCATTCAAAGCTATGAAACAAAAATGAAAACGAACGACAAGAAAGGGGTTCGAACTTGACAATATGAAATATCCATCTGAGGGCACCTGCAAAATCCAGCCATTGACAATGGATCAATACTTGATTCAGTTCCTCCTGCCACCATGACATCTGCATCTCCGAACTTAACCATGCGAGCGGCATCACCCAAAGAATGAGCTCCACTTGCGCATGCTGTCACGACAGCATGATTAGGCCCCTGGTATACAACCCATCCCAGTTAGCAACCTCCCTACTCACATGCAATAACCTCTTATTAAATGAGAAATCCAGAACGCTTGGGAAACTTAGTCAAGAGTTCTGAGACTTAACCAACCTTAAAACCATGGCGAATGCTGACGTGACCAGCTGCCATGTTGATCAAAATACGAGGTACAAAGAAAGGGGTCAGGCGACGCAACTCCTGTACACAGCTAAGGATTAGAAAATCAGGAAAAATGGGAAGACTATCAGAAATTGGTAAGGACACACTCACCAATAGAATGATAGGCACTGAATACCTGAAAGCTCACTTCCTTTTTAATTACTACTCCATACCTTCTTATTGATAAGGTGAGCTGCTTCCAGGATATCGTTGATAGAACCAATTCCACCACCAATTGCAACACCCTGGAGACCAAAAATTGCATACAGCAGCTCAATTCGTTAAGAATCTCAGAGCATGTACGACTCTGAAACCTGAAATAATCTCATAGTCTCACAAGAGTTGAACTGAAAAATAACCATAAACTCTCAAAATTTTTGAAACCTAAAACTTGTCATCATCCCCAAAATGCACATCCGTGGACCACGAGGTCCTAGCTACAGATACGCACCGTGCGCTCTAGGTCAGCGGCGTCTTGAGGATGCCAATTTGCGTCTGTCAGGGCTTCCTCAGCAGCACATTGTGCGTAAGCTATGAAAGCTGGGCTGGTCGAATTCTGCGACCAAAATCAGAAACTTTAATAATTGAAAAAACCTTTTCATGTACTGAAATTCCTCAAAGAACGTGACAAATTGAGGAAGAATACGAACCAGCCATTTCTCGACATCAAAGTCACCGGCAGCAGATCCGCGAGGCACAAGCGCAGCCACTCGAGAAGGAAGCTGCTGCAGCAATCCAGGATCCTTTAGCCTTAGACTCTCGGCACTCAGGGCTTGTACTCCAGTCTTAAGTGCAATCAATCTGTCCCAGCTCACTTGCACTCCTGCTCCGAGAGGGGTTACTAATCCCAACCCTGCCACCCCCACAAAAAAAGTGCATGTCTCCACTATCATCAGGGCTCACGAAAGTCGAAACCAACATCTGCTCTTCTCCAAAACATTTGGTTTCAGGAAGTGAATTGTTTCTACATTTTCATTTTTAAACCCCTAGATGAAGGTCCCGATCGAAGTACCACAACTTAGCTAGGGCTGACCATTCATCTTCGATACCATACCATCAACGACACCTCCAACGCTGATACAAAAAACACTCTCTAGGAACCTATTCCAAACGGTCCCAACAAAATCAATACGGGGTAATCCGGATAGCTAATGTCAAATGCCACCGAAGCCTCGTCCACAAAGCCGTAATATACCTCCAGGAAGAGAAATTGGCCTCCCGATCGGCACAGAACCAGAACAATTCAAACCACAAACGAGAAGTATCGGCAAAATCTGAACTCAAAACCTAGCTTGCCAATAGGGAAGGCAAGTAAATCGTACCTGTGACCACAACACGGCGCTGGGGAATTTCTGGAGGTGGAAGAGAGCTCCAGTCATAGCTTAGGCGTCGAGCTCCTCGTTTGAGCAGCCCATCAACGATGAACCTGCGATAGCGCACCATCGCTCACACGAGCTGCTGCTGGTACTCCTGCATCGATGGATAAATCTATCGATCGAAGAAGAAGAAGAAGAAGCAGAACCCAACTCGTGGGACTACATGAGAATCACAACCCATACCCCGGAATTCCGTGACTATGAAAAAATTTCCATTCCTCGCTGCGCCGCTCACTCGCTCGCAGATAGTCTGTGCCGCGCCGGAGAAGCAGCCCTCCTCCGCTTCATCCATATAGTTCATCCAGAAATCATCCACCACATTCATCTTATTTCCTCATCTACGATATTTATCCTCATCCCTTCTTCCTTATCCTCATTCCTCATCCTCTTCAACCTTTCCTGGGGGGACATAGCGCAATAAAATAATAATAATTTTTATTTGAATTTGTGAAGTGTTTTCCTGAGAAGAAGAAGACATGATGTTAATAGTCTGAACTCATGGTGCTATAAATTGGGTTTCAATATATCAAGAGCTTTTATGGTGTTGATGTTTTCGTATAGATGTATTTTTGTCAAATTGAATACATACACTTATTAGTATGATATAAAATGCCTATAGACAAGGTCTGTAATAGGTAATATTAAATTTCACTTTTTTTCTTGGCTCCTCTAGCCTTCTCTCACTTTACATTTAAGAAATGAAATAAACAAGGAACAAGAAAGAAAGAAAGTGAATGGAGAGGAAATAGAGAAAGATATTGGAACAATAAAAAGAAGTTAAGAATTGGGAATGGAGAGTAGTATTGCTTCAATATAAGAATAGATAGAGTACTATGAGGATATGATAGTGTACAAAGGGAGGTCTGACTAAATTCAATCAAAACATATTAATGAAAATAAAAGATGCAAAGAATGTTTGATGTTTGTTTTGTATACTCAATAGCAACATGATTTATGTGAATACATGTCATTTCTCATTTAATTGGTAATATAAAATTAAAAATCTTGACCTTTTTAAAAATATATATTTTTCTATATAATAACCTTCCATCTATAATATGTCACCTTTGTTCAAAACTTTTCAAATTAATTAGATTTTTTTTATTTTATACTTTTCAAACCATTTAATTGAATGATTCTTTTGATTGAAACTATTAAGTGGGTAGTGAGTTGTGGTGGTAGTAGCAAAAACTGTGGTGGCATTAATAATATCTTATATATCTATGTTTATATATATATAATATTTAAATTATTCATATTTTTAATATTTTTAAAATAAATATATAATCAAATAGTTAATTAATTAATTAATTAATTAGATTATATCTTTAGAAATACTTTTATTAAAAGTAATTTTAGATTTAATAAGTTTATTGAATGATTGCAATATCTAAAAGTCTATTTTAAAAGAACATAGTATCAAGGACATGAATCACAAACAATAAAAACCTAAATATCACTAAAAAAGAATAGATATTTGTCATGATTATTCAGCATGGACATATATAATTATTTAGATAAGAAGAATTAGATAGAAGATATATATACATAGATTTGATAATATCTTAAAGAAAAACTTCTTAAAAGCTGTATAGACATGGATTTGATTTTATATATATTTGTAGGTAATTGGTAGGTTGAAAACTTTGCTAACAAGTTAGATACATATTGCACATGTTGATGATTTTTGATATAAGTTGGCTATGTGGTATACATATAAGAAATTTATCTTACAATTTAGATACATATTAGAGTTCCTACAAAATATCACTATATAGCTATTAGTTACATAGTATATATAGAGACAAGAGTAAAGCCTTTTTTATTCTTATCAATGCTTTTTTAAACTTTAGTCTTGCTTTAAGAGCATTTAGTTTTCTTATCTTTGATAATAACTATTGTAATTTAATATTATACCATCTTTGAGTGATTTTCTACTCTTTTTTAGTAACACAAGAGTATATTGACCTTTTGGTTCTTTGAGATTCATGTCCTTGCTAATTTGATAAGAGTGTTAATTCAATATTTTTATTTTTTTAGAAATAAGAATATTATTTTACTTCTTTTGCTATATTTTAAAGATTGCATATTATTCATTTTTAAACTAATATTTTTTGTTTCCTATCATTGATTCTTTTTTTTAATAAAAGAATAGACTACACCTCTTTGAAGAAATTTTTATTTGATATTATAGGATGCAAATTATTGTCCTCTAATTTTACTTACAGATTTATAAAAATCATCTATTATATAGATAAAAAGATTTTTTTTGGATACTACAATTAATAGAAGTAAGAATAGATTTGGAATTATTATAGATCTTTACAAGCTTGTCAATATTCTTAGAAAAGAAATTTCACTTATTATCAATATCAACCATGGAGATACTATTTCTATAAAAATGGAAAAAGTCAACAATGAAGTTAAAAGTCTATTATCAAGGACATGAATCTTAAAGAAAGAAAATTCAATACACTATTGTGTCACTCAAAAAGTTTAAAAAATCACTCAAAGATGGTAAAATATTGAATTAGAATGGTTGTTATCAAAGACAAGAAGAGTAGAAAGTCTTGAAATAAGAATAAATACTACAAAGGTGTTGACAAGAGTGAAGAAGGCTCAACTATTGTTCTGTATATACTATCAAATTAGAAGCTACATGGTCATGTTTTATAGGACCTCCAACATATATTGACTTTGTAGACACATATCTTAACTTGCAAGGCAAGTTTTTTTATATGTGCACCATATAATATGATGGAAATATGTGTTTATTTTGATATTTATTTATATAATTAAATAATAGATAAAAATATATATATTTCATAATATTTTAAAAAAAAACTTTCTAGAAGCTTTATAGATGTTGCTTTAATTTTATATGTATTTGTAATTAATTGATAAGTTAAAAACTTGATCAACAAATTAATTACATATTGGTAGCTTGTAAAATAAGCTTATTAAGTGGCACACATATAAAAAGCTTACCTTGCAAGTTAAAATATGTGTCTTACAAAGTCAACATGTTTTTTAGATCTTATAGGACATTGCCACATAGCCCTCAATTAAGAGTATTTATGGAGGTAGGAGTCAAGCCTTTTTCACTCTTATTAATGCTTTTCTAGTTCTTGTCTAATTTCAAGATTTTTTAGTGTTCTTATCTTTGGCAATAGCCATTTTATTTTAGTACTATATCATCTTTGAATGTTTTTTTAGTCTTTTTAAGTAACACAAAAATATATTGATATTTTGGATTTTTAAAGTTTATATCCTTGATAATTTTATAAGAGTTCTAATTTATTGTTCTTATCTTGTTTTAAAAGTGAGTGGATTATTTTACTTCTATTATTTTTTTTGAAGGTTGTAGATTATTCACCTTTAAACAAACTATTTAATTTTCTAATACTAATTTTTTCCTTAAAGAGAGCAAATTATTCTTCTTTGTGGAAATTTTCATTAACATTAGAGGTTGCAAATTATCCTCCTCTAATTTGACTTGTAGATTTGTTAAGTTATTTGAAATAGAAGGAAAAATTATGGATGCTATACTTAATGGAAGTGAAAATAGATTTGCAACTATTGCAAATCTTCATGAACTTGTCAATACTTTTAGAGTGGAAATTTCATGAATCACTAGTGCCAATCCATGAAGCACTAATTTTATTCCTATAAAAGAAGTTTAGAATTTACATCATAAAATTGTGTAGTTAAAGAAAGCAAGTAGATAGATCTTATAATCAAATTTAAGAGGTTTTGTTTTTATAAGTATAATGGAGATAATGATTAATATTCCAAAGAAGTTTGATGGAATAAGATTAAAAATTTGAGGATTTTTGTAATAAGACAAGTTCTATCTAAGATTGCATTTCTTCCAATACCTTAATGGATTTTCTCAAGTTAGATTCATAGGCACACTTCTATCTCGAAGTACTCTGTTTTAGTTTGTATCTTTGATGAAAAAAGATTCATGATTCTTTTATGATTTGAATTCATTCTTAGAAGTTTTATGGATATATTTCTAAAAAATAATCTAAAAATAGTAGTAAAGAATAAATTCTTATCTTTACAATAAAGATCATATTAACCACCATATATGCTATTGAATTACAAAACTTTACTTATGACGTAGATTGGAATGACAAAGTCCTTATCAATCAATTTCAAAATGGATTGAAGAACATTATCAAAGATTTATTATTAACAATGCCAAAAGTATCTTTTTTTAAAATAATTTATTATTCAAGCCATTGCATGTAATAATTAATTATTTAAAAGGCATCAATAACAAAGATTTGACTAGAGAAGAAAAAATTAAGTAATGATGGTAGCTCCTAAGTTTTTAGAAATTTATTCATGAAGGCAAGAATCTATGTAAATTGATATGATACATTTTTAACCTCTTATTGAGAAAAAAAAGACTTATTTTTGTCAAAAAGATTTATACCTATATTGTGGAGAATCCAAATACAATACTTAATTTTATCTAAAGAAACAACACAATTATTAAATAAAGAGCATGGTTGCTAAATAAACAATAAGTCAAAAAATGAGTTTCTTCGACTACAATAGCAACCGTACGACTAGAATCTTATGAAATACTTAGTAAAGGTCCCATTTTCTCCTTATATTCTTTATCTTTTTTTACAATAGAAGTTTGTTTAGAATCAGATAATGACAAAGTCTTAGCTTTATTGGATTCAAGAGTCTTATTCTATTTTATATACAAAGACTATAAAAAAAATAAGATATATTCTTATTTAAGAAAATAAAACTTATATATATATATATATATATATATATATATATAGAAATAATAGATGATTTTTTATTATCTTTTAAAAATGTTACATATAAAATTATTCCTATAAAAGTAGTAATTAGTGGTTATAATAATTTAATAATCTTTAATATGATTAAATCTCTTTTTAATTCAATAATTTTAAGATTATCATAATTAAAAAGATATAACCCTTAGATAGACTAGATTTCTTGCAATCTTAATTTTTTCTATGGTCTAGCCTAAGATTTGCTAGACAAATAAAAATTAATAAGACTAATATATCTAAATTTTCATTGATAGGTTTGAAAATTTTCATGCATGCTACAAAAGAAAGATCAACTTTTGTTATATACACCACACCTATTGTTGATGAAAAAATGATTACTAAGACGTTTTTAAAAAAAAAAAATGCAAATATTCTTTCAAAGTATTGTCTTTATGATTGTTCCATCAATCTTTAAGAAAGAGC